CCCCCCCCACTCAACAGTAACAGTGTTGTAATGACCTCAGTGACGGTTTGATTTCAACATTCTCCAAACCTCTCATTGTGAACACAGCCACTGTCAGTGCCACACTTCTGGACACCGCTCGCTCTGCCCCAGGATGTCTGTCCTCCATGGCGTCCTCTCCCTGGTCCCCAGCTGGGCCGACCTCTGTCAGATCCTGTGTGTGGCCGGTACAGGGCTGGTTGCCGTGGCGGCAGTGTGGACGGTGAGGTTGTTGGTGCATCACGCCTGGTTCACACGCAGACTGTCAGGCTTCAGCAGGCCGCATGCAGACTCTTGGCTGATAGGTCACCTGGGCCAGGTAGGATCCACACACACCAAGGACACACAGCAAGGAGACACATGCACCAAGCAGACACACACACACTAACAGGCATGAATACACTCATTTATCAGTTCTTATGATGAAGCCTTACACTCCAGGAAATGCAGATTTGTCAGTGAGACACAGGATGTGGCTTCTTTGCGTTTCTAAATATCAATATTGCAAAATCTCCTCTTTGTGATACATTTCCTTTAAACCCACATGAGAACCCACTTTTCTTACCTTTTAAAGTTAGACTGACAGCAAGCTCATTTTAAAAGACAAAATTAAGATGAAGTGTTTTTGTGCCTCAGATGCAGAGCACGGAGGAGGGTCTCCTCCAGGTGGACGACCTGGTGCAGAGGTACAAACACTCCTGCAGCTGGTTCCTCGGTCCTTTTTATCACCTGGTCCGAGTCTTCCACCCGGACTACGTCAAACCTCTGCTCATGGCGCCCGGTAGGCTTATGCAACCAAAGGTTCCCAGACAAATTAGATTTAAATGTGGAAAACAAATCCAAATATAATCCAAAGAAATCCAAAGAATTTCCCAAAGATTTACCTCATGCGCGCTAATCCTCCTTTTTTTCCCTTTAAGGCAACATTACAGTGAAAGACGAACTTATCTACGGTCACCTGCGTCCATGGCTTGGTGAGTATTACAGTTCTTTGTTTAATAAAGTCAAGTTATAAAATAAGTAAAAACTGTTGCTGAGAACTATCGATAATGACAGAAGCAATCTTTGAGAAAAATGTGCTTGACGTTTACTTTGACTTCAGCTTGATCCACTATGACCTATCCTGCAGCCAGCCACTAGGGGGCAATCAAGACACTTTGGCTTCACTTTTTGGGAGCAGGCTAATGTAACTACTGTCCTGTTACTGTCGTCCTCACCTCCCCACTGTGTCTCCCTGATGTCCCAGGACAGAGTCTGTTGATAAGTAACGGGGAGGAGTGGTTTCGCAGGAGGCGGCTGCTCACTCCTGCTTTTCATTTCGATATCCTGAAGAGCTACATCAGCACGTTCAACACCTCGACCAACACCATGCATGTGAGCCACACAGAAAACACACAAGACGTATGACTGTGTAAAAAAATGTGTGAAACTGGTACACATCTGTGTTTCAGGGTAAATGGCGCCACCTGGTGGCAGAGGGCAGCACCAACGTGGAGATGTTCGACCATGTCACTCTGATGACTCTGGACAGTTTACTCAAATGTGCCTTTAGCTACAACAGCAACTGTCAGGAGTGAGGACACCCGCTTTACCTCACGTCACCACTTCACACACTCGACTTTTGTATCTCTTTGTTAAAACAATCTCTCTCCAGGTCGAGCAGCGAGTACGTGTCAGCCATAGTGGAGCTCAGTGACCTCATCATAGAGCGCCGCCAAAAGATTTTGCACCACTGGGACTGGATTTACTGGAAAACCCAGCAGGGGAAACGGTTCAAACAGGCCTTGAGTGTTGTGCACAGGTACATGCACGGGTGGGACCAGTTACCTTTATGCAACTTCTTCTTTCAGGAGAGTTGTATATTTACTTATAATATTGTGTGTCATAGAAAGACAAATCTTAACATATATCCATAGTGATTTGGGGAAAACTTGGTGTTTGCAGGTTCACAAGTGACGTGGTTCAGAAGCGCCGTGCCCTCATCAGCCAGCAGGGGGAGTCAGAAACTGATTTCACCACGGCGTCACAGAGCAAGAAGGACTTTGTGGACCTCATACTGCTGTCAAAGGTAAAAGACGCGCCGATACACACTCCACCAATCACGAGTCAGTCTCAGCTCACACTGTTTCTTTTATCGTATCAAACGACTAATTAAAAAAAAACATATCAGAAAAATGCACATCAGTGTGATGACCGTATCGAAAATGAAATAGACCAAAAACTATCTGACGTCGACTTTGACTTTTTAGTCCCGTCAATAAAGTGCAGATACTGCAGCCAGCCACCGGGGAGCGATCAAGACGGTTTACAGTCTCTGGTTTGTGCGTTGTTGCAGGATGAGGATGGAAAAGGCCTCACAGATGAGGAGATACAGGCGGAGGCCAACACCTTCATGTTTGCAGGTGAGACAAAGAGACTTTTACTAAACAGCTCATACACTTTGTTCCTTTTGTCTGAAATCCTCTTGTGAAGGAAAAGACAATTCCTGATACTTTAAATATTGAGGTCAAATCCCATTTTTTCCCCAAAGGTCACGACACAACAGCCAGTGCAATTTGCTGGACGCTGTACAACTTAGCGCGCCACGCCCACTACCAGGACCAGTGCAGGCAGGAAGTGATGGAAGTGATGCGAGGACGAGATGGACGTGGACTAAAGTGGTCAGAGAGAGTAGGACATTATCAAGTGCAGCTGAAACTGTGACATGTACTAACATGACTTATCTCTGTATAAAGGGAAGATCTGTCCAACCTCAGCTTCACCACCATGTGCATCAGAGAAAGCCTTCGACTCCACTCTCCGGTTCAGGCCGTAACGAGGAAATACACCCAGGACATGCAGCTGCCGGGGGGACGCACAGTTCCAGAGGGTGAGATGGACGGACTTCTGAAATAGACGTTTAGAAGCCGCCATTTGCAGACTGTGTATATGTGTGTGACCTTTGGAGAGATAATAAGTGTTTGTCTGTGTAAATGTTCTACAGGTGCCATTTGCTTGGTCAGTATCTATGGAACACACCACAACCCCACAGTCTGGACAAACCCACATGTGAGAGATGAACAGAATTGTATTTTCACTTTCATTCATCACTGTCATAATTAACCCGTGTGGTTGATTCCCTCTGCCAGGAGTTTAATCCTCTGCGTTTTGACCCGTCTAACGCAAAAGGTCGAGCGTCCCACGCCTTCCTCCCCTTCTCCTCAGGCCCCAGGTGAAGGGTCCTCATGCACTTTTGAAGCCAGATCAAATGAGACCTGACACAATCAAGAAATTCACTTGTCTTTGTGTGTCCACAGGAACTGCATCGGTCAGAAGTTCGCCCTTGCAGAGCTGCGAGTCGTCGTGGCGCTGACTCTCCTCAGGTTCCGCCTGACCCCGGGGGTGAACCCTGAGCTTGGCAGCAGCTCCGGAGGCGTCCGCCGCCTCCCTCAGCTCGTCCTGCGCGCCGAGGGAGGCCTGTGGCTGCAGCTGGAGCCTCTGGCTGCAGAGGAGGGGGCACAGACTGAATGATGGCACGCTCAGCTGAGAATTTAGCACTGTTCCTGTTTGTGTTTACTGTGTTGTTTCCAAATGCATGTTCAACCTTTGTTTTTCTAGCATAACTTCAGGCTATTCAATCACATTTTGTTTTTTGAAATTCCATTTCTCTGGTCTCCTTTTTTCCAAAGAAACTTAAAGAATTAAATGAGACGTTTATGTTATACCAGGATTGAACCACTTGAGGGCAGCACATCGACACGTTACACTCGTGGAACATTTGCTTGAATGCTTTACAGAAGCTTTTCAATGGCTCTATCATTTTGTATATAAATAATTACGTAACTGCCAGGTTTGTATTTTGTATTTAAAAGCATTTTAAACATCAGTATGTGCACATTTTATTATTATAAACTACCAGTGACTGCAGGTCACTACAGCCTCAGCCTCTTAAACAAATATAAATACAGACCTACCTAAAGTTTAGCAGGGGGCACATGTATTGTGTATATAAACTTACTAATTAAAGTTAGGATTAATTGGGTTTTAAACATTAACAACAGCCTCTGCTCAAACTTCTGCTGATTCTGCGACACTTTAACACTTTAAATTCAATTTGACACCAACTGTTTTCAGCTAAATTAAACAAGAGGATGAATTTGGTTTAAATGTAATAATCCACAATCTGGATGAGCTGCTGAGTCACTGTCCAGTCAAGGACTAAGGAGGAGGAAGAGGAAGCCGGCTATTGCACATGTTGTCAGGTTTGAGAAACTAGATGTAGAAGGTTTCATCACGTCTCTGCATTCAGCTGCAGAAACAGTCGGGAGGACAGGAAACTGACCTCCAACTAAGAAATGCAGAAAAACAAATAACCGGGGGACTGCAGCTGACCAAACAACTCACATGCACTTCTATCCACTAAGAGCAACACAGTTTAAATATATAACAACCTGTTCTCTTTGGAGAATAGTTGTCATGTAAAAAATACAAATTATTTCAGCTGAAAAAATCCAATTCAGTATCAAGAAAAAGAGGAATAATAATTTGATGGTGTAGGAAATGTATAGTTCTTCACACTGGTGCAGTAATACACAACAGAATGACTTTGTGACATGTGATGTTCCCATGTGACAAAACCATCACCCAGCAGTGGCCACCAATCTTTAAGTTCAGGACCTCCGAGAGGTCACATGATGTAACGGAGGAGTTATTTATTGGATCATAGCCAAATAACTTTTTCTACTTCAGGGCTCTAAAATATTTCAAATCAAAAGAAACTGAGATGAAAGCATCACAACCAATAGATGAAAACTGCAAGAAGAAAATGTTCGGCTATAAATGGATCATGGGCCAAACTTTTTCTGACCTTAAATATTCAAACAAACTTTCTCTGCAATAAAACCTCACCTCCGATGTGTAAATGATGTTTAATCAGAATAATAATCAAGGAGCTTTTCTTTAATCCATTAAATGTCATTTATTTGTGAATACAAAATAAACATYTGATTTACATTAGTTTTCCTTTTACAGCATTCAGACAGATTCACAGTTTCATCATTACTCAGCAACTATTTCAATCAAAATAAAAAATATCTCTACATTCTGAATGTAATCCAACTCAAAGCTCAGTTAACGTCATAAACAGAAACTAGTGTAAGAAACACTCAGCCTCATCTTACTGAATGTCTGTTACATTCCTATGTTTCCCTCAGGCCTGACACCAGCGTCTTCTTCAGTTTCTCATTGTAGAAGTAGCTGAGTTTTGACCCTGGAGCTGAAGCTCGTCTCTGAGTTTCTTCTTCTCACAAGTACCAGACAGAGAATTAGCAGCAGGAATATTGACTGAGATACTGACGAGAAACCAAAGTGGTAATAAAGAGAGTTTTTCCTACACAACACACTCTGTACCGGATGTATCTAAATTTAGAGATGGTYGTCAAAGATCAACATTATCAGTGTAACAACAAAAATAATAATGTGCAGTGTAAACTGATAGAAAGGCAGTGGGAGGAGTTTACGACKGAGTATTTGGGTCACACAGTAAAACAAACATTACAATAAGGGAATAAGAATGAAGGTGATATTGCAAGAATACATTTGAGATCTTATTTGAAAAACGTCATATTAGAAAAGTTAAGTCATATTTTACTGAGAAACAAAATCATAGTTCCTAAAAAAAAGTTGAAAATATTGAAAAAACTAATTTTAAATATTGTGTGATGAGAAAAAAAGTCAGAAGAGTTTCAATTTAATGAGAAGAAATTAAGAGACTACAGTCAGAGAGAAAAAAGCTGTAAAATTACAAAAAGAAAGTTGTAATAACATTAGAAAAAAACAATAAAAGTATTTTTAGAAAATATCCTGTATTGAGAACGCACAAAGATTCTCAATTTATTACGACTTAATTGTCGTAGTATTAACATTTCATTCTCTAGATCTGTTCTCTTGAAGTGGCCCTAATACTCAGTCGAAAGAAAGTAGCAGTCATAATCTGATTTTATAACATCGTGATGTGGAAATGTGATTATCACAATAAGGAAACTATATATATTTATAAAAAGTAATTATACTGATGTGGCACTGACACAGTTATTATCTAACATTTAGTGCATCAGGAGTGTCGATGATAACAATAAGGCTAATGATCCACAAGTCATGTGTCAGTAATGAATTGACAGAGGACAGCTCATATGTTTGTTTCCTATACAAAATACAAAAGAAGTTAAAGTTTGGCCATTACATGAATGGTCCCTTTCTGTTCTCCTCTATACTGAAGCATAGATAGCGTCAGAAGATTTTCCTTCTCACATCAAACCAGCATCCAAACAATACAGACACACAACTCTCCCAAGATGAGAAGATGAGGCACTTCTATGATTAAGGCTCAGCAGTGACTCCACACTGAACGTACCTCTCCATCCACATCACAAGAGCCCACTTCAGACATGAACTCCGCAAAATGTCCCAGAGAATTGGGTGCGGACATTTTCCAGGAATTTGCCTTTCACGAGTAAAGGACGCAGCAACAACAGCAGACATTGAGGCGAGGGGTGGGTAGAGCATGTACGAGGCAGGACATGACGTATAATTTCCCGTGTGGAAGTAGCGTGTTTATATTTAAAACACGTCGGCTCTTACCACCAACAGCTCTCGAAACTTGTTGTATTAAGTTGACATTTTTCTTGTCGTCTTCTCTGTGCTCGGCTCCTCTTTTTCATCCTGAGGTATTTGTATTCTTCCAGTTTTGCACTGGTATCTGGATATTTTCTCACTTGGGCTCACTCTGACATTTTCCAGACTTTTTACTCGAGGCAAGGAAGGTTTTCGAAAAACGTCTCGAGCAGCCTCTCTGAAAAAATGTCAGGGAAAATGTCCGCACATCAGTGCACGTATGAAAGCAGCTACGGTCGAAATGATGGATCCTGCTGAGCCTGAAACAGCTCAAGGCATCGAGACGTCGTTCTCGAAGTTATGCTTTGGCACTGTTGCCGTTTGACAAAGGTTCTGCCTCTGAACTTACTCCCACGGGACTGAGCTCTGTGGCTGAGGCGTGATCGTTGGCCACGCCTCCTGCTCCGGGCTGGTTTCTATAGTGACGGATGATGACCACAGCAGCGCAGACAAAGTAGATGATGGTGAGAAGTACGAAGTAAACCGTGAACACCAGGAACTGTGAGAGGAAAAGTGAATCTGATTATACAGATTCCATCGAACACTGACTGAGAGGACGAAGATCTAGGAGCGTTAGCGGGAAATTGCTTGAGGCCCCGAGGCGAGAAGGTTTGACCAAAATCACTGAGAAAGAACTACAACACACTGAGACATTACTAACTATGCAACAAACAATCAGTTAGAAGTAGTGTGAACATAATTACAACCTACCTGTAATATCTTAATACACTCAACAGCCAAGGCTCCATGTTGCCAGTGTTTGTGGAAAACACTTGTAGAATCTTCTACACTATTTAAAGACTGTTTTACCTGAGTGCGCACATCCATTGCCAGGCCCCTCTTGTCAGCAAATATGAAGCTGATGATGCTCTTCAGTATGGTCCCCAGGAAGGTGTTGATGCCAAACACCAGCGCACACAGCTCCTTGGTGAGAGACGAGGCTATCTGGTAGCTACGGGGAGAAGGCTTAATAAGTTACTTACTATACTTTACAGTTCATAGTATGAAAACCTTACGTGCATTTACAGCTCCCCGTGTATGTCAGGCTCAAAGGTGATCATGCAGGAATTTAAGGTGTAAATCACGGCACCACTTCATTTGATGGATTCATGTAAAGTAGGTTTCTGTATGAAAAGTTTTATGTTTTAACTTTTGTAATATTTTCGTCCATTTTTGAAGACAAAGGCAAAATGAACAGACACCAGTGTGAGAAGAACCTTAAATGACAGAAACCATGTTTCAGAAGAATTTATTCGACGTGTACTTTTACGTCTCGGTTTGGTCCATGTCACAATTAATAACATAGAGGCGGGCATAAAGTATAAAAATACTTTACTCACGTTGCAATAGGCACCAGGAACTGATAGAAGCCCCTGAAGAGGACGTACGCAGTGTAACACACCCAGATGTTGCCTGTGGTGCACATGAGGAGCATCAGACCCGCCTGCACTGCTGTGATGACACCGATGACCAGCTCCGACCACACGTTCCATCGGATTTTCACATATCCTGCCACGAAGGACGTCACTGCACCTGCACAGATCACACGTCAGTCACGGCTCTGCAAACTGATAGATTCAGTGAAAATCACACTTTTGCACAGGTTAAATATTTCCTCCCACTGTCAAAGTCTAAATTGGGTTTAAAATCCTGCTTCATTAACTTGAATGTTTACATTTTTATCAGGATATCTAAGAGTTGTCCACTGGTTTCAACGCTTCTGTCCACTCATCATTAACCTGCTATCAGATTTGGTTTTGCAACGTAATGTTACTGCTTGCACGACGTCCGTGGTATTTAGACAAGGAGCCACCTTTGTGCTTTACAGCTGGTTACTGTGCAAACAATGACGTTTAAACCTGATGCAATTACTTCAGAGTAAGAGCTTTACAACCTCCTTAATGCATTATGTTGCACCACAAGATGATGAGCTACATAAGTGTGTTCTCTTTCTACACAAACAGGACCTGCAGGTTTTATGTGCACAATGTTTGGATCAACTGAAAGGCTAAATGTGTTTTCATGCTGAATTAAAGCAAAGAGAGGCAGCGTTGTTGTAAAATTCTATTTCATGTGTAAACTTTTCCTCCCTCATTCAACACCTAAGCCTGAAATTCCTTTATTGAGAAAATTGAGTTGGGAAGACACTTCCTGTCATTGCACTGCAGGGCTTTAGATATTTTGTTTCTGAGGATAAATGAGTCCCTTTTCTGTTTGTATAAATGAAGTGAGCTGGAGCTGCACACATATGAATAAAAGGCACCAACTGACACGACGTGAAACAGATTAGACCTCAAAAGCACCATTCTAGTAAAAACTACATTCTGTAGCTCTAAAAATGTCTCACTCAGTAATGTCGAAGCTGCCTCCACTCCGCCGTTGTAAACGTTCTTGTTCTCAGTGGCGGTGTAGACTGTGTTCCACAGGACGTGGACGTTGAACAACACCAGGTAGTACCCTGTGGAGTTGAACACCCACCACAGGGACCACAGCCTCAGGTTCGGCTTCTTCACCAAGTTTCTCACCTCCAAAAGCATCTGCAGCAAGAAGGAATCCTTCCAGCGCAACCCAGAGCACGGAGGCACGGCAGAGGATGACTCACTCTCTTTTGGCTTTATTTTGTCCAGTTCAGATTTGGTGGCTCCCGACGCAGCCAGTTCCTTTTGCTCCTTATTCCGCAGTTGGTTAAAAAACAAGGAGCGTTTCGGCCACGGCAGGCACATCGACAGGAGCAGGCTAAAGCTGACGAAACCCAGTGATATGGCGCTGAGGGTGTAGAAGGTGATGTTGCCCAAAGACAAGCAGAGCTGGCCGAGCACCGAGCTAGTAAACACCCCTAAGAGGACAGCGGAGCGCGAGTATCCGGCCACTCGCTGGTAGAGGATGGGGCTGACCAGGGAGAAGATGTACGAGGAGTATGCCACGCGGCACGCCATAGTGATGCCGTAGAAGAACTCCATGAGCTGCATCTCGAGGAGAGAGGTGCAAAGGAGTAGAATGAGCCAAATGACCACCTGACTGATGCCCTGGATGACGAGGACAGGCTTGTAGCGCAGAAGATCCGTCAGGAGGAAGGCCGGCACCAGCACTGCCATGTAGGAGTATGTCAGCACAGGAATGATCTCATTGGTCACCTGGAGAGGACAGAAAATTTAGTTTAAAAAAAAATTGTAATATTTAGTCCAGTGCGTGGGATTGAAGAGGATCTTTGACCTAATACTGAAGCAGTGGCAGTAATAATGTTGTGGCAGCAACCCAGAATATACTGGATGAATCGCTGAAACTCTGATTTTTATATAAATATGAAATAAATATTATTTACATCCCTAGTAAGAGCAGATCTATGTGTTTGTAACATTTCTGGCAACAGAATAATCAGATTTATGAGGTTTTGAGAGTAATCAGGCATTTAGACAACTTGATTAAAGGCAAAAATGCTCCTGTTAGTGTCAGTCACGGTCAAATCAGGAAAAAAAACCTGGCAATCAAACTAACACACAAATCCTGAATCCTCCATTCTGTGATTCGAAGCCTTCGCAAAACCTGTTTCATTTACCCCGTTTGGAGGAATGTGACCTTGGACCTCAGTAAGATGGATCAGCTCACTTTCCACAGGGCACTCATTAATTTGACTGCGTAACGACAGCTCAGAGGAAAAGCTGGGGAAGTCTCAAAGTTCAGCTTTGAGTCTGCACTTTAACGACGTCTCTCTTTCATAACGGGCTGTATCAATGTTTACTTTATAGCATAAAGACACATTTTCAGGAGATTGCTTGAGTCAGACACATTCATAACAAGAGGTAAAAAGCACTCGAATCTTGTCCACTTGTCCGCTCCTCTTCTTCATCCTGAGGTATGTGCATTCTTCCATTAGCTTGTTAGAAACGTCATCAACCCTCCCACTTGTATTTCTGAACATATTCCTGTTTTTTTCTCACATGGGCTCACGCAGACATTTTTGAGGGCCTGGCAGGAAAAGTTCTGGATAATGTGCATTCTCACATTCAACACTGAAAGCACAAACACCAACACATTTTAGTCTGCGGACATAACTGACCTGTTTCCCGGTGAAGTTCTTTTCGGGGCTGAGCAGATATGGTGTGATGAAAGCCTCCCCTGGCCTTATTGAGGACATAAAACCATAGAAGCACAAAAATATCACGGCCCACTTCCACGTTCTGGGGTCCTGGGTTTCCACTGTGGGCGCATCAGAGGGAGCCGGGGCCTCGGAAGCAGAGACGACCATCTCCACATCCCTGTCTGGGAGTTCATCAGCAGTCTCAGATGCGAGCACTTTCAGGTCCATCTCTGTCTCTGTGTCTGATCTGCCCCCACTCTCTGCTGCGTCCTCTGCAACCATTATATCAGCTGGCTGGTGGACCACACTGTGATGCAGAGCGTAACTTGTTTTTGTCGTGTCAAATCAGCATGTGAGGACTCCTCCTCTTTAAAAAAAACAAACTAAGAAAATGCAGAAAACTATCTGTTTGGGTTGGAATTGTCAATCAAGCTGCGGTTTCCCCTTCAACCCCTCTGGGTCTCTCCATGCCTGGGAGGACTGAAAATGTTTAACAGGTTGGTGACACGCTAGTTAAAATGCTACATGCTGCTCATCGCATGTATCGGAGAGTGTTGACCTTTGCCTCAGTCCGCACGGTGACACTGTCTGGTCCTGTGGTGTCATTGTTAACCTGGAAAGATAACAATGTTGTTAGTCAGACTATTCTGACACTGGGGAAACAAACTATAACACGCTGCTTTTACTTCGACAGGCCTGGAATCAACTGTGACTGTCATTTTTAAAGTATACAAGTGTTAATAAAATAAAAAGCTCCCGGAGAGAATGCGTTGTTCGACCAAAGCTTAATTCACCTCACATTAAACTGAAACTACTCTGATCGGTGACTTAAGAGAGAAAGGAAAAACAAAACTCATTTGGGCCTCAGACTCAAAGACAGTTTTTTTCCACTGCAAATTAATTGAAAGTGAAAATGAAACAATATCAGACTAGAGATGAAACATGAACCAGTGATTTACCAACATAATAATGAAGAATAACAGATAATGAAGGAATGACGGGAGGTTTAATGTGACACGTGTGACTGTGGGTTTAATAATAAGCCAGGGTCAGGCTGTTTCAATCAGACATGTTAACTCTAATTAAATAACTGTAACTTCATCAGACTGTTTATTATTCTTCATTATATATATACTACAAGTTCACAGACACCCGCATACATGTACACACATATAAATATATATATACTTCATAGTATGTTGTTGTAGTGGACATCATGGCCTCGGTTACGTGTCAGTCCTTCTGTAACACGTTAGCATACCGGTGCTACACGTGCTAGCATGACAAGCTGAGGGCTAAACACGTTAGCTGCTAATGTGCTACACACTTTAACGCAGGATTCGAGGCGGAGGTGCGAAGTTACGACAGTTCGCGACATGGCTAAAGCACCGTAGCTTCTGTTAGCAAACATTCATGATGTAGCATTCAAAGCGAGGAACTGACGCTGTTCAAACTGTGAACGCGAACCCGTGCTCACATCGCGTGTTCACGCGTTAGTCATTTATTTTAGAAAGCGCAATAACGTGGACGTTAACGTTACGTACCTCACGTGCTGCAGAGCGTCCCTCGACTGAGGGAAACATTTCCGAGGAGCGCGTGAAGGCACGCTTCAACACCGCGGTGCAGCCTGGGACATGTAGTCCCGCGGTAATAACTGTATATAATTTATAATGGAAATATATAGGGAAAATGTACCACATGTAAGTAAGTAAGAGATCTACAGTGAGGCCAAAGGAAAGAGTAAAATAGTTTATTGTGTCAGTAAAGATCATAACATAAGGCACACATACAGTAACTGAGGGTGGACATCACACCTGTGTCAGCGTCTTTCATCACATTCCGCCTCCTCCATTCATCACACAGCCACACCCACCACCACATCCTGTCTCTGCAGAGGTCAAAGGCTGTGACCTCTCGGAGAGGCTGAAATCAATGCAACATGTAAGCAGGCGAAACTCTGCAGCTCATAGCACAACGTCAAGCACGCACAGCCTATAGCAAAAATATATTCATATGGAATTATACATCTTTTCTACACACTGAAGCAAATGAATTATACAAAATGCAGTTAACTATCTCGGTACAATAACTGCTGAGCCATTGGTAAGAAAGTCCATGCTCGACGTTTTTAGCATCAGAGAATTACAGGATCAAAAAATAGTAGCAGTACCTTTGTCATAAAACAGTTATAGCAAAAGACGTACAAGTCCGTATAATGCCAAAAATATTAGCTTTGAAAAAAAGGAAACACAAAAGACATCTTTAATATACACGTTAGAGGAGGACTGAAACGTTTGTCCCTTTCAATGAAGGAGTGCCATGGCTTCTAGATACTTTTTGGTTGAAATACCGGATCCCAGAGTTCACGCACACGAGGACGAATTACTGTGAGTTTAAGGGCAACAAGAAAAAGTAAATTTGGAGAATAAAATTGAAATATTTTGAGAGAAAAATAAAAACAACGTGAAGGTGAAACTGTTGTATCATAGAAAATAAAAAATTTTTAAAATACCTGTTCTTGTAAATTTGTTGTATATATTATTAATGTATTTACTGACATTTTTTATCCTAATATAACAACTTAAATCTTGAAAACTTGCTGGCAGTGGCCGCAGAACCCAACAAATCAAACCAGATCTCAACCAAATGAGTGAATTCAGATTAACAGTCTTAGAGATTCTCTTTTAGCAAATGAACTTGTGGCATAAGAGACATTTATTTAAAAAAAATCTGATAAGTTGGTCTTTTCTGTGCCAAACATATATACGTGGACATTTTTCAAACACTGCTCAGTAATTTCAGAGTCCTCCTGTTAAAATTATCCTCCAGCTTCCAGGCTGTCGAGGCTAGTACAGGTAGCCATCAGGGAAAGCCAGCCCCCGGGCGCCCTGCTCCCCTCCGTCAGCCAGGTAGGGGCCCTCCTCTTCGAAGCCGGGCAGCGGGAGTCCGTCCTCCTCGCTCGGGGGCAGGATGGCGTCCGGGTCGGCCTTCAGGCTCGGCCTCTGGTTGTCTGGGAAAGCCATGGAGAACAGCGCCTCGGAGTTGCACACAAACTTGTAGACATACCTTTCCCCAGCCACCTTCGGGGAGAGCCAATCAGAGGTCAGAGAAATCAGTAACGATTACATAGTTCTTCCTGTCAGAGTTCCCTCTTGATAAATGTGGAAACTAATGTTCGTGTTCTCTGCCTTTTACCTTCTGCATGATGCCCTTCTCGTAGTAGTACCTCAGCGAGCGGCTCAGCTTGTCGTAGTTCATGGCCGGTCGATTCTTCTGAATCCCCCAGAGTCGAGCCACCTGGACACAAGGCAGGAGGAAAATCCATCAGACATCTGTCTTTTCATTGAGTACTGTGTATATAACTATGTATATACATATATAACTATGTATATACATTTGACAGAAAACTGGGTTCAGGCAATTTTGCATTCACTTTACTTTCTGGACCATTTCTTCAGTCTACGTCCATTTTTATATACAGATTTCAATCATCAATTTTCGTTCCTTGTCACTCGCTAGGGTCCATCATTCTCTTCACGTCCTTCAGAATCAAATAATATTTCACAAATTCCCACGTCAGCTCTAGTCGGTGTCTGACCTCTTCGGGATCGATCAGCTTGAACTCCATGTTGCGTCCCGTCCACACGATCAGGTGTCCGTTGGCCGGGTTGTCGAGCAGCGTGAGCAGGAACTGCCAGAGCTGCAGGGAGCCACGGCGCTGGTATGGCAAACCCTCCTGCTTCACTTTACCTGAGGACACAATGATCAACTGTTAATAACCCCCTGATCGATCACACAAAATAATCAATAGCCACCATGTTTTTTTTTTTTGGCTTACCCTCCAGTCTTTCTGGCACAACACACGTGTCGTCATAGTACAAACGTGGCTCTCTGTCGTGACCAAATCCTGCAGGGAAAGTAAATATTAAATTAGAAAAATTCATATTTGTTGACGTGAGAAACTCTGCAGGCTCAGCACACGCAACTCACCGTTGTTGTTCTGGTACAAGACAGGAGACTTTCCAAATGATGTCGACTGGCAGGTTTGAACCTCTGGAAAGACACAAATCAACACGATCTCTGAATGCTGATCGATAAATAAATAAATACCATGTTAATCAATTTACTGTCTTTTACGTCTTCTCTCATATGTGATGCAAAACTGAGATATCACATGAACCAGAGGCTTGATACACTTCACAGCAGAGGCAGATGCAGACAGATGTGGTCGTGTTTGGTGTTTCCACATGGAGTCAGTGGTCATAAATTTTAGATTGCACCCACACATCTGCACACACACTCATGTGGCCCTTGCAGACGACAAAAACAGATGTGCTGCAGCTTCTCTGGTCGCATTAAACATTAACTCTCACGGTGAAGGTTGCATTTGTAAGATGTGGCAGATAACACACCGACACACACCTGCGTCAAAGCCAAAGTCTCTCGGCTCCTGTTTGATCGTGACGTGGTTGAAGGTGGTCTGCCGCTGGGCCAGACCTGGATTGGGGGGCCCTTGCTCCGTGTACCTTGGGTCCACCAGCTCCTGTTTGAAAGCTCGGGGGCCTGGGGCAACCAGGGGCTCCGAAAGGTGGCGCTGGTACAGTGGGCGCCCGTCACGGCCTGAGGTGGGGTACGGCCTGTGTGTGGTCTTGTCCGGCGGGAGGAAGGACAAGCAGGGCTCTGAGAGCTGCCGCTGGAACCTGAATCATTTGAGAACGGAAGCAGAAGTTGGAGGGTTCCAAGGGAATTTTTCTCAATACCGTCATACAGGAAGTACGTATAATCGGTAATAATCACCTTTGCTCGCTGCTGAAAGCTGCCGCAGTGGGACAGCTGATGGGGGGACGTGGCAGAGCAAACTGCTGGTTTTGGCTGGTCGGCGGGAGGCCACGGTGGTGGGAGGGGCTCATGGCGGACACGTGGCTTGGCAGACAGGCACCGGTCAGCTGCGGGGTCGTTGGCTGCAGCTGCCTCTGTAATGGCGGAGGCCCCGTTGGATGGGGGGGGCCACGTTGTAGTGCAGGTGTGGGGGCTGGAGTCGGAGCTGGCTTGTTGTCACAGGCACTGAAGTGAGAAGAGATGACAGGAAGTGGGTGGGTGTTGCAAAAAAAAATGTGACCCCTGATCCTTTAATATCAGTGTTATCACATGATGCATTGGTAATTCTGTACCTGTAACTATAAAGGCACATGTCAGCTTGAGGCGTCCTGCAGGGGGACAGGTCTTTGGACGGACTGGGCTCTCGTTTCACTTTGCTCAGGGGCGGGCCATGAAACATCTCTGCAAACACACACACACATACATAATCAGCATTTTATTCTAAATATAACCTGACACTGAAACATCTGCCATCACAAGAATTATGCATATAGTGGGAAAAAATAAGTCTGTACAGAAAAAGCAACAATTCCTTTCTATTTCAGAGACGTGATTTAAAAGCTTTTCCTGGATTCTGCACTGACGACACCACCCGGCTGATGTTTCCATCACACAGCACAATGTCCGTCATCACCTGAGCTGTGAGTCACTTTGCCGAGGCAACAATCAAGAAGCAATAAATATGTACGTGTTTGGCTTTATTGAAGCAATAGCAAAGTACTACTTACATATTAACAAATCTGTGATAAACACCCTTCTGGTTTTATTGCTTATTTTTAAATCTCTTAATGGAACTGCTCAGGGACATTATCAGGAGTCTACAAGAGGCATACATAAAAAATGTGTGTTGTTCCCCCTCTGCCGCTCGACTCTGAGCGCATTGCCATGAATATTAGAGGAGGAGAAGCAGCGACTTACGGTTATTGGACTGGAAATCTGGCACAAACTGCTCGTCATCAGGAACCTGAGCTGTCGGGGGAGGAGGAGGAGAGACAGGAAATTAAAAGTGGTCTCTGTACATTTCCTGGGGACGCATCATACTTCAGGTTATGTAGGAGAGGCGTGCACACTGCGTCCAATCAAAGCCTTTGGTTAAATAAATTCAGCTCATAACAGATCATCCACAGTTCTCATTTCATGACGCTGGCAGGTCTCACCTTCTGCAATCCAGATTTCTTGGAGCTGGCTCAGATCTTGAAAAAGTTCTGGAAGACAGTTTGGAAACAAATACAAGTAAATATAAGAAATATAAGCAACAATTCCACAAATGAAATACTGTGATACTTGCTGCCGTTAGCTTCAGGAAAAAAGTAGATTTTAAGCCTTGTATGCTCAGACAAATCGTCCATGGGCATTCTCCTGATTACAAATGAGCCAAAGTGCAGCTGCTAGACTTCTAACCGGCACTGAATATAACTCCTGTTCTGGAAAACCTGTATTAGTTATCAGTTAAATCCAGAATTGATTACGTCCGCCAAGGACATTATGTGTTCATCTGCATTTGTTGTGTAACTATTGGCCAGATTTCCACGAAACTTGGTGGCAGGATGTGGTACGAGTCAGGGAAGAACACGTCCAGTTTTGGTGTGGATCCAAATCAGTGTGCAGATCCTGGAGGTTTTCCAGAAATGATCAGGGGACTGATATTAATGAGTGCGT